TATATATAAAAGCATGTGTACTGAGTGTATTGTATTGAAATAATAATAACAACAACAACAACAACAACAACAACAACAACAACAACAACTTGAGCATAAGAAGAGCCCTGCAGGATCAAACTATTAGACCATCTGGTCCAGCATACTGTTTCACACTTTGGTCATCCAGTTGCCCTGGAAAGCCAGCTACAGGACATAGAAGCCGCAACATCCCCCTGATGTTGCCTCCTAGCATTAGTATTCAGAGGTTAGCTGGATCTGACTATGAAAGTCCCTCTTTGTCACCAGGGATAGTAACCATTGATGGACCTATTCTCCATTAATCTATCTAATCACCTTTTAAAGCCATCTATGTTCATGACAATCATTATGACCACTGATGGTGAATTTCATGATGTAATTACTCTTTGAATAAAGAAGTACTTCCTCTTTCCTGTCCGGAAACTATTGCCCATCAGCTTCAATGGGTACAGTCAAGTCTTAGGGAAGGGGAAGAAAAAGTGCTTTCTCCAGCCTATACATCATTTTATAAATCTCTGCCATGCCTTTAGTTGTCTTTTTTATGAACGGAAAAGTCCCAGATTCTTAGCCTTTCCTCATAGGAAGGGTGCTGCAGCTGCTTGATCATTTTGGTTGCCCTCTTTTGTTTTATTGTGAAGATTAGGAGATTCATGAAGTTGGTTGTAAAAGTGCTTTTTTAAAAATTTGGTTTCCCCTCAGTGATCCTTCCTTGCTGCCAAGTGTTTTCATTGTTGCTTTTATGGCTTTTCAGGGCTCTTTTTGTAGCAGGAACTCCTTTGAAGAAGAAGAAGAGATTTGATTTATACCCCGCCCTTCACTACCCAAAGGTGTCTCAGAGGGACTTACAAACTCCTTTTCCCTTCCCCTCCCCACAACAGACACCCTGTGAGGTGGGTGGGGCTGAGAGAAATCTGACACAAACTGCTCTTTTTCAAGGACAGCTGTGCCAGAGCTTGTGACTGACCCAAGGTCACATCAGCAGGTGCAAGTGGAGGAGTGAGGAATCAAACCCGGTTCTCCCAGATTAGAGACCGCACACTTAACCACTACACCAAACTTTACATATAAGCAATCCTCCAAGAGCTTATACTAGCCCCTGTAAGAAGAGCTCTGTAAGCTCTTGGAGGATTGGCCACATTAGGGGTGTGTCGCCTAATATGCAAAGGAGTTCCTGTTATAAAAAGAGCCCAGGGTTTAATTATGCATTTTTGTTGGTTTTAAGGGTTTTGTGTATGTTTTAATTGGTTTTCATTTATTTTTGTTATGTATGTTTTAATTTGTTAACTGCCCTGGTAGCCTTTATGAGGACAGGAAGGCAAGGTATATATCTTGTAAAATATAAATAAATAAATAGAGCATGTTTTATTAATCCTAGAATGAAACATGGAGCAATAACGGCATTGTTAAATAAATATGTAAATAAATAAGCTCAGTCCCATGCAAGCAGCATTATTGAGTTTTAAGGAGGCCACCATACCTGGCTGATGGGCTGCATTCAGCTTGGTGAATCACAGGTGAATCACAGGTGAATCACGGGGGGGAGTACTCTCCAAATATTTATGCCTGTCCTAGAATAGCCGTAGTCAGTGCACATCTGACACTGTCATGCATATGCAAGATAGATTCAGGTGGGTAGCCTTGTTGGTCTGAAGCAGCAGAACAAGGTTTGAGTCCAGTGAAGAAGTGTGCTTGTACATGAAAACGTATACCCAGAATAAAACTTTGTTGTTCTTAAAGGTGCCACTGGATTCAGACTTTGTTCTGATGCACATGCAGGGTTTCTCACATAAAAAATCAAGAGAATGTTTCAGACCAAGTCTTTTAATGTTTTCTTTTTTCCTCTCTTAGGTACTTATAATTTTTCAGTGGTGAACTATACATTTGATAGTTACTCTGTCAATGCAAAAGTTGCTGGGACACACCTTTCTGAGTTGCAATATGTGCACTCCTGTGACGGCTGTCAATGGAATAAGAATAATGAAACGGTTTCTGGACTTCAAGACTGCAGATCTTACAAAATACATGGACATTTTCTTAAGTGTGAAAACTCCGAATTCATTCAAATCAGTAAAGTTCCCCCTGGTAAGACTAATCCCTTATCAATGGAGGAAAATCAGGATTATTGGCTTTCTAAAAGACCAGTTTTATGACCTGTGATAAGAAGCCAAATCCTGAGCTGTTAGAAGAATATATCCAAGAATGGAAGACTGTATCTCAAGTCAGTCTCTATCCATTTGAATGGTGCAGGCACAAAGGCAAATGTGGAAGCACTTCTTGTCTCTTTCCCTGGGAAGAAATGGGGGAGGGAGGGAGGGAGCTGCAATAAGGTGTTAATCCACTATTGACCAGATGCATTGCCATCTGATCTTGAAACTTTTATCTCTTGGCCTTTTCCTGCTTCCTTGTTTGTTCCCCTCCTCTTTAATGTCTGCAGTGACAGGTAAAAGCAAGATACAGAAAACTAGAATGAGATTTATACTGTTCAAAGGATGTCTTCTATTTTTGCAGTGATATATGAGGCTATGAGATTGGGTGGGGGGACAGAAAAACGAATGCCCATTTTTACTCATTCTGGTATCTGTTTTTAATCATTAATTACAAGCCACCTGGCTCTCACCAGCCCAAGTGAAAAAATGTGAGATTCTGAACATGTGCAGACTGCCTTTTACTGATTCACCAATGTCAAGCTCCTGTCCCTACCTCCCCCAAAACTTTGGGTTAGGGCTGAAGGACTGAAGAGGCATAATGCTCAGGCAGGTTGAAGATCTTTCATAACAGAACAATACTTTTCATAACAGAGCAAGAAGTACCTGCCAACAGAAAGCCAAATTGTTGAACACCATAATATACAGGCAGTCTTAAGCATAATCCCTTCTTGTTACAGAAAAATCCAGACTTCAGGAGAATATAGTAAATTTGTTCCAAGAATAATCAATTCTTTGAATGCTGAGGCTGCAAGCCCTCTGCACATGTGCTGAGTGCTTTTCGCTCACTAACTATGCACTTCTACCCACCTGATATTAGGGGATAATTTGTATTTTGGCTCTAACCCTATTTTTTGCTGCCCATGAAAAGCTGCTGGGAGCTGAAAGCAGAGTTTAAATGGCTGCTAGCCATTTAAACCAAATAGCTGAGTGGCAGGGAGCTCCCAGCCACTCAACTGTTTCTCATGAAGAGCAGAAAGCAGGGGTAAACCCCTCTTCATGAACCACCACGAGCTACCATGAATTGCACCAAAATTTGTGGAAGTTCAGTGCCGTTCTTGAGTTAACGAACTTCAGTTTGCAAACCACAAACGCCATAATTTCTTGAAATGTTTTAATAATGCCCTTGCACTTGAAGGGTGATTTTACACACATTTGCAGTGTTTCTGTGGATATCACTTCCATGTAGGCAAAACGTACTGTTATTTGTGATGGCCCCGACCTGGATAGTTCATGCTATCCCAGTCTCATCAGATCATGGAAGCTAAGCAGGGTTGGCCTTGGTCAGTATTAGGTTGGGAAACCACCAAGGAATACCTGGGTCACTACACTGAGGCAGGCACTGGCAAATCACCTTTGAACATCTCTTACCATGAAAAAAAAGAAAGAAAAAAAATAAACATACATTTTTTTTTGCCGCATGTACACATGGCTAAATGAAACTTGCCATGATGTGTACACGCAGCAATGTATATGTTTATCAAGTGTAATGGTTCTACATGCTTTTTTTTAATCAATGAGGACTATATGTAGCAAAATCATCATGAGCAAAGAGAATCGAAGCAAATGCACAAAGCTAGGTAGTGGTTTGGATCCAGTGTGAAGACTGTGAGGATGGTGTAAGGATTGCCAGTGCTTGCAGTTTTCTCCTCTCCCTAGCAGTGCTTCCTGACTCTGGGGAAGCTGACTCAAGGGTTCACAAGACTCATGTGAAATAATAGCCATGCAGATCAGGAGGCAATGGTGATGTGGGGGAAAGAGGTAAAATCAGCCCTTTCTTCTTCTGTCAGTGGAACTCCATGCATGCACAGGGCAGGAAGGAAGATGATTTTGCCCTCCTCCCCCTTCCCAGTGCAAATCATAATACCACGAATAAATTCTCGTGAGGTAGCAAGGCTGTTACACATAGGGAACTTTGGAGGTTGCTAATTCATAGGTTCCCCATAAGTCGGCAGCAACTTGATGGCATTTAGCACACACGTCCATGCACACATGCACACACAGAGGAAAAGACCACCACGGAGGGGAGGGGAAAGCCAGGGATGCTGGTGACCATCTGTGCCTTCTGCTGATGTATGGTATTATTCAGCTCTCTGTTTATATCTCTTAAATTATACTATACAGAAATCAGTGGACACAACCCAGCCAAAATTAACCACTGCTACTGATTTCAGTTGTCTTCAGTAGAAAATTAAGCATTTTTAAAAATTAAAACCAGGGATCTAATTAGGGTTGCCTGGGTTGCCAGGCCACACCTTTTTTATAACACTAAAACGTTATCCAGAATTCCTCTCAAAATCTGAAGGCATAATACTGAAAAGATTATCATAATAGTGTGTTCTTTTTTCTTTTTTCAGTTGGAAGCAGTTTGAGTGCAACCAGTGTCACTGACTCCACTATCACCTTACTGTGGAATACTCCACAAGACTGTAATTCAAAATATACATACTGCTGTCATTCCGGTAGGAATTTTTTAGTAGTTCTTGCATTTGATTGATCATGCGCTAAATAAAAGGACTTTGATTGAGAACTTGTTTTTAATCTTGTGTATGGATATATCACAATATATGTAATTAGTCAAGATAGAAAAATATTTTAAAAGACTTTGTTAGCTTTGGAAAATACAGGGCTATTTTTGGGCAGGAACGCACAGGAACGGAGTTCTGGCTGGCTTCAGAGTTGGCCACGCTCACTACAGGCAAAATCTCTGTGTGTGTGGCTACAGAGGGAAGGCCTGGAGAGCGACCCCCCCCCGGTGACTCTGAGGTGAGTGGGCTAGGGGCCCCCTGGAAGGATCAGGGAGGCATTTAAATGCCTCCCTGTGCCTTCCCCAACCTGTCCAAGGGACCAGTTTAAACTGCCTTGCCTTCCCTCCAAGGGCCAGCTTGCCCGGGCACCCCGCAGCCAAGGGAAGGCATGGGGGCGTGGCCTAATATACTAATGAACTGCATGGCACTGTCAGGGTGTGGCCTAATATGCTGTCACAGGAGCTCGAGGAAGACTCATCGCTTGCCTCGTTGCTCGAGCTCCTGTCGCTTCCCACAGTTGCCACGGTGCTGCACCTCACTCCCTTTTTCTCCCTGGAGACTTGGCCTCAGACACCTGGATGGGGGAGGGAGGTTACTTCACCTTCCCTACCACCTCGTCCCTGCTGGATCGAGCTAACCCTCTCTCTGTATCGCCTCTGTATCCAGGAGTCATCCCCGGCCATCTCCCGTCCCCTCCTTATATCCGCTCCTCCCAGTTCCCATCGTGCTCTCCTCCTCCCGGTGTCCTCCCTCTCTCCTGGCCCCGCCCCCTATAAAGCCGGAGATGTGGTGTCTTGGGTGTCTCCCTGTCTCCTTCCATCCCCTCCCTTCCGGGTCGCTGAGCCCGGCATCGTGGCCATGCCCTCGCGTCGGGCATGTGGCCCGACATGATCCATTCCGCCTCTCCCGGCTGCTGTCTCCCTTTGAGTTGCCCGTGGACCTGCCTGACACCGGGAAGCCCGGCGACGTTGCCCGTCCCTCCGACCCTGTCGGCCCCCTCCCATCGGGCCTCGCTGAGTCAGCGTCATCTGCCTCTTCTCCCTCCTGCTTCCTTGCTGCGTGGGCTGTCTCGGAGGGCGGCGTCCCAGCCCCTCCGGGCCCCCTGACGCCCTCCGTGGCCCGTCGACTTTCCCTGGTGAGTGTTTGGGAGGTTGCCTTCTGTTCCGTCCTTGGTGGGAACGGAGCTTCCCTGGCCTGGGGGGTTGAAATCCCATCCTCGGGACATATGCTAATGAGTTTCTGCTGTTGGGTGTGGCCTATTATGCTAATGAGTTCCTGCTGGGCTTTTTCTACAAAAAAATCCCTGGGAAAATGTATGTATAAAAGCTTTATAAAGTATAGATTATTTTTGTTTGTTTGTTCTTAACATGTAGTTTCTGATTTCCAAGGTGCACAGAATACAGATTGCACTGGAAGGAGTATTGATGAACCTCACAAAGAAATCTCAGTTTTAGCACCCAACACCAATTATAGTTGCAAATCAGAAATATTTTTTGAAAACAAGATGGTGAACAGCAAAACTATTTATATAAAGACAGATTTTGGAAGTAAGTATTTCAAAGTTATTTCCTGTGCTTTGCTACTAATTGACTTTTCCCAGAAAGCAACTTTCATAACAAGGATAGAGTTGGTGTGGATAGCATATGCATCCCAGAAGAAATTAATAATGCAATTCTATGCATGTTTACTCAAAAGTAAGTCCCACTTTCTTCAGTGGGGCCTATTGCCACGTAAGTTTGCATAGGATTGCAGTGTAAGAACATGGACAGATGACATGGGTCAAGAAGATCAAAGACTCCCAAGTGAAAAAGTGAGCTACAGAAATAAGGAAATAAATAAATGCTTCAGTATTGTAAGAAAGTCTGTCTATAGATGAGAAATAATGACAACGTACCTTAGTGATTCTTTGCTCATTTTTAAGGACTTTCAATTGAGAAGCCATGTTAGTCTGCTGTAGCAAAGTAAAACAGAAACTGAGTGGTGCTTTTAAAATTGACCAACTTTATTTCAGCTTAATCTGAGTCATGAGTCAGACCTCAGATACATAATAGGAAATGAAAATTTCTCTCAGTCAGCATAATTCCAGAGGGGAAGAGGGCTGGGGACAAAGAGGAGTTGAGACACTTAAAGGTTTGTAGTAATTCATACCAAGTGAATCCATGCGTAAGGGACTAGAATGTGGTTGTTACATTTAAACAATTACGAGAGAGGTTACAAATTCCAGCTCCCTGTAGAGTTCAGTTAAGAGCGATAAAAAAGTGCAGAGAGATAATAGTCTCCAAACAAGTCCTTTCCAGGAAGGTTCAGTGTGAAACATAAGATGGAATTCAGTGTATACAGCATAATAGTATGATTTTAACATGATAAGACAAATCTATTAACATCTATAAAGCATGGGTTATGCCGAAGTGTTACCAGTTGTAGTGAGTTAGGAAACACAAGTCTCTGTATAAGGCCCAGATGTGCTGTGATGGTTAATCTTTTGATGAGTCCTAATTCGGTACTTTTGTGTTGAGTCATTCCTTTCTACATTAGGCATGCATTGAAGATGTACAAATAAATATTTCTGCTAATCACTGGAATAAGGCATTAAGTTATAAAGTTTTTCTCTCTATTGAATATTCATTCAGAAGAAAATATCCCATAGAGTTTATTAGATTCCTGTAAATTTCCTGTGTTAACATATATGATGAAATCACCCATAGATAAGTCTTTGGGGCAGGAAACATTCAGAAATTGTAGTATATATTTTATTGACAGTATGTGACCAGTTAATAGTTGGAACAATCATCTGGATCAAAGGAAGGAAGAGTTGTCTCCTTTAAGGCAACAGTCCATAGTGAGCATGTATCCCTCTAAGACCCAAATGGTCATTTCTCTGTGGCTAGGACAGAAATTGATAAAACAAGTGGGAAGCTGCACATCTTCAAGCACTCCATCCATATCCTCAGGTTGTTAACAACTGTAATGAGTTTGATCAAAAAAGTGACATGATAATACCCTAGTAACACCCAGCAATTGCACTGCCTGAAGTGGTATCCAAATGGGAATGGATGCAAAGAATTTCATCAGCTCAATGACTAGCAAATAAGTCACAGATTCATGCTTAGGGTTAATGCAAATTGACCTGGAACAGCAGGCATGTACCACAGAGAAAGGTTCCTCTGGATGGTGGTGTGCTCATGCAGTGATGGCTGAATGGTATCCTTTCGTTGCCACCACTGTCACTAGAACTTGAGGAATGGTCTAGCTTATATTTTGTTGGAGCTGAGCTCTAGGCATGTCAACAAGAAACTATATGAAGGCCCTTTTAATCTTTTCTTATCTGTTTGTTTTGGGATTAGATGAATCTAACACATTCTGCAGAGTCAGGGCCATTTAAGTCTAAACCTTTTCAAGAACTGTTAGATTTATGATAACTATTCAAAATTTCCACACCCTTTGCTTGCCTTCTCATTTTGAATCACAATCCCCAATAGGAAAACAAAACAAAATGGGATCACAGTGTGTGAGATTACAGCTTGAAAAATCACCATGATACATGGTTCCTACATGTATATAAATACCAATGAAGAATATATTATAAAAATTCCAATCTTGTATCTATTGGTTTTGTAGTAGTTCATATAACAATATACTCTAATTTTATATAAAGCACTCCTGCAGCTACATGTGTTGGAACAGTATGTGATTCTTTGCTTTATATTAATTCTGTATTACAATATAATAAAGAGTGACTTTCCAGGAAGCTATTTCAACCAGGAAGAAAACCCTTTGTGAAATGAGTATATAGCTGGTTACTCATCATCATCTCAGCTTCCATTGATCTTGGAGTATTATAATCTGTATCGTCTGTCTAATTAAATGGACCTTCAGTGGGAGATTCCTTGATATTAAGTGGACTGCATCTTTTATTGGACTGCTTCTTTCTTTCATTGTAATCAAATAGTTTTGGTAAAAGAACTGCATACCTTTTAATGACCTAGTGTCTGGTGTGGATTTGTTTCCATAGCACTTATAAAAAAGTAGAGTATATTGTTGTATGAACTGGTACAAAACCAACAAATACAAGATTGGAATTTTTATAATATATTCTTTATTGGTATTTATATAGAGATGGGAGCAATGTATCACAGTGATTTTTCTAGTTGTATTGAAATTTTGAATATCAGATCCAAGCTGTGACATGCAATGTATGTAGAACCAATTATATTTTGTGACAGCTGTGGCAGCTTGAGCCATATGTGGCAGCATGGTTTCTGCAGGGATAGTGAATTACCCTAGAATTAAAAGACTGCAGGTCCTTAAAAGCAATTCTAAGGGAGCGGTGGCGCAGGCAGTTCAATGCCTGCATTAATAACACTAGCGAACAGCCACTATGGCTGTTCGAGACCCACCACGGCCGGGGTGAGCTCCCAGCCCAAGTCCCAGCTCCCGCCCACCCAGCGGCTCGAAAGCGTAACCGCAAGTAGACAAATGGGTACCTGCCCTAGGTTGGCAGGGGGCACCCTCCCTCCTGATGGTGTGTGCCAGGAGTGTTGGCGGCGGCAGCGGCAGCGATATAGCGGCAGAGCAGAGGCGACCCGTGGATGTGGCGGCGATGGAGACCGGATGGAGGCGGAGCTACGGCGGCACGATGGCGTGATGATGCAGCGTGGCGGAGCCTAAGGGACAAAGGCCGGAACTGCAATCGGGAGCTGCCGCGTGCCAGAGGAGTCCATCAGGAGCCTGCCGGGAGATGTCGTCGACCCGTCCTAAGGTGCCAGGAAGAAACAACGGAAGCCCGCCCGTGGAATACAACAGGACCGCGCCGCTCGGGTGTCGATAGGTAGCCCCATCCCCAGTCGAATTGTGGCCCTAGGTTAGGAACTAATTAGGCACTTGGGCCATATACCTGTAAACCGCCCAGAGACCCTCGGGTAAAGGGCGGTATACAAATCGAAGATATAAAAATAAATAAATAAATAAATAAATAAATAAATAAATAAATATATCAACCAGGTCAGGCTGGGAGGCTGTCTTATGGTTAGTACACTAACAGAACCCCTCATTTGCCCTGGGAGTCATAGAATCATAGAGTTGGAAGGGACCTCCGGGGTCATCTAGTCCAACCCCCTGCACAATGCAGGAAATTCACAAATACCTCCCCCTCACACTCATAGTGACTGCTGTTGCATGCCCAGAAGATGAAAAAAACCTCCAGGATTGCTACCTGACCCCAAAGTGGCAATCAGCATTTCCCATGGCATGTAAAAAAGGGCCACAAGAAGTAAGCACAGAGGCAACCATTCCTGCCTTCCCTTTCATGATCTGCCTAAGTTCACAGAATCTGCATTGCTGTCAGATGGCCATTTGGCCTCTGTTTGAAAACCTCCAAAGAAGGAGAGCCCACCACTTCCCGAGGAAGCCTGTTCCACTGAGGAACCACTCTAACTGTCAGGAAGGTTTTCCTAATGTTTAGCCGAAAACTCTTCTGATTTAATCTCAACCCACTGGTTCAGGTCCAACCTTCTGGGGTAACAGAAAACAACTCTGCACCATCCTCTAGGTGGCAGCCCTTCAAGTACTTGAAGATGGTTATCATATCACCTCTCAGTCATCTCCTTTCCAGGCTAAACATATCCAGCTCCTTCAATGTTTCTTCATAGGACTTGGTCTCCAGACCCCTCACCATCTTCATTGTGCTTATCTGGACACGTTCCAGCTTGTCTATATCCTTCTTAAATTGCGCTGCCCCAAACTGAACACAGGTGAGGTCTAACCAGAGCAGAGTAAAGTGGTACCATCACATTGCATGATCTGGATACTATACTTCTGTTGATACAGCCCAACAGCACTTTTTAGTTGCATTTTATAATTTTACCTGTATTTTTAATTGTTTAAATGTTTTTATGTTCACCACCTTGTGGACCCTGATTCAGTAGAAACGAAGCATACAAATGTTTTAAATAAATAGGCATAAGAAAGAAGTTACAACTCTAGCCAGGAATATGTTTTTAATATTAATATTCAGTAATGAGAGTGCCCATTTACAGCTGAAGTGGTACAGATAGGGTTGTCAAAACCAGGCGGGGCCTGGAGATCTTCCAGCATTACAACTTATATCCCGGCTACAGAAATCAGTTCCCCTGGAGAAAATGGCTGCTTTCAAGGGTGGACTCCATGGCATTATACCCCGATGTGGTCCCTCTCCTCCCCAGGCTCCACCTTCAAATCTCCCGGGATTTCATAACGCAGAGTTGGCAACTCCACATACAGCCAAGCAAAAAGCTTATCATGATACTGAGAACTAGGCCTCATTCTTTCCTTATGGTTTCCCTGATGAACCAGATTTAAGGAAGTTTTCTTAAAATGTCAGTAGTTACCTGGCTCCTCCTTTTTCCCCTTCTTGAAGATGGGGACAACATTTGCCCGCCTCCAATCTTCTGGCACCTCACCTGTTCTCCAAGAATTATCAAAAATAATGGACAGAGGCTCAGAAATTACATCCACGAGTTCTTTTAGTACCCTTGGATGCAGCTCATCTGGCCCCAAAGACTTCATTTCATTTAAAGAAAAAAGTGTTTATGTACTACCCCTATGTCAATCCTAGGCTGCAACTCCCTTCCCTCATCATGTGTTCTGTTTTTGCCACGTTGAGCACAATTTCCCTTGCAAGAGAAGACTGAGGAAAAGTAGGAATTGAGCAGTTTTCCCCTCTCTTCATCACCTGTTACAATTTCACATTCCTGTCCCTGCAATGGGCCTACCATGTCCTTACTCTTTTTCTTACTTTGAACATAAGAAAAGAACACTTTTTTGTTGTTTTTAGCGTCTCTCGCTAGCCTAAGCTCATACTGAGCTTTAGCTTTCCTAACTCTCTCTCTACAAGTACTGCCCACTTGGAAATCTCCCAGAGAGGTAGTCCAGGGAGATTGATGGAATCCAGATAGATCACAAATTACCTCTTGGCCTTGATCATACCTGCTGTACTGAAAACCAAGGAGGATGCAGTTCGTGAAAATCGTTGCTAGTGTCTTATTAAACTGTTGACTTGTCATTCTGGTCATCCTACAGTGCTCTTTAAAAGTACATTTTCTTCTTATCTTCTGTTAACAGAGCCAGGGCAACCTGAAATTGTTAACGTCACAACATTTTCAAGACAGATTTCAATCCACTGGCAGAAGCCAAGCAATGAACAGAATGGTCCTATTCATGGCTACAAGGTCCATATCAGATATCCTCAAGATGAACGTAAGTATATTTTACCTAAACCTGCTTTAAATTTTGCATGAATATGTTACTGTTTCCTTGCTATTTTTCTCTCACTCCAGTGCAGTCACATATAGCTCCTTCATGTTTTAAAAGCATGAAAGAATCACTAAGCAAAAATCTAATGCCCTTCCCAAATCCAACAACTTACTGCAGTGTTCCAAATAATATATAGTGTTTATTAAAGGTAAAGCCAGTCGAATCCGACTCTAGGGTTGCGGTGCTCATCTCCGTTTCAAAGCCGAAGAGCCAGCGCTGTCCGAAGACGTTTCCGTGGTCATGTGGCCGGCATGACTAAACACCAAGGCACACGGAACGCTGTTACCTTCCCACCGAAGTGGTCCCTATTTATCTACTTGCAATTTCTTGCTTTCGAACTGCTAGGTTGGCAGGAGCTGGAACTAGAGACGGGAGCTCACCCTGTCTTGCGGCACCCGGGTCGCAAACTGCTGAACTACTGACCTTCCACAGCCTGCAGTTCAGCGTCTTAACCGCTTGAGCCACCGCAGCTCCTTATAGTGTTTATTAGAAACTTGCAAAATGCTAGTTATTTTAACTGTTGAGGTTGAGGAAGAACCTCACTGCACATTGCAAGAGCCCAGAGAACAGAGAAGCACCCTCTACGGGGTCCTGCCGATAAGTGGATGGGAATGTTTGACCCCCTTGAAACATTGATATGGTCCCCATGTAACAACAATACAAGATGTTGGTAGAAATTGGCTTTTCCTCTCCCTCCCCCCAAGCAGCCATCTGTGAGCCCCCCAGAAATGATTTTGAAGGTTGAAGGAATCACATGGATATGGGTGGCTGCACTAAGCACAGGACCCACCTCTGTATCATAGCTTTTCATCTGTCCAGGTCCTCAGCCCTTTTGAGACTCACAGTTGGGTGCTGAGGGAAGTTGAAGGCAGGAAATGTCTGCCACTGGCAGTGCACAGGATCCAGCTCGCCAGCCTCTGGCTTTGGGCTAAATCTGGCCTTGCTTCTACCGATGTCTTTGATGAGGGTCAGTTTTGCTCCTCTGTCAATCATGCCCAGATTGCAGTCTGTTTGCTTTGCCCAATGGGATTCAGAGGTAGGCCTGGAGAACTGTCCTGACCTGGATGGCCCAGACTAGCCTGATCTTGTCAGGTCTCAAAAGCTAAGCAGGGTTGTCCCTGGTTAACATTTTGATGGGAGACTACCAAGGAAGTTCAGGGTTCCTACATAGAGGCAGGCAATGGCAAACCAACTCTGTTCCTCTCTTGCCTTGAAAACCCGACAGGGTCACCCATAAGTCAGCCATATACACATACGGACATTTAGAGAATAAAGCCATAAAATGGAGAATAGAACCATCGTTATTCTACATAACCCCACCCTGGTTCTGTTTCCCGATATAACACACACACATACACAAAAGTTGCTTTCATAAATCCATAGGAAGATATATGGTTTTAGTGTTTTTTGTGTGTATATAAATGATTTTAATATTATTTTCCCTTCTACATTTTACAGCGGAAGATGTTTACTTGAACACCAGTAAGCTTTGGAATGGATTAACGCCTTTCACAAATTACAATGTATCGGTATGGGCATATACTTTGAACAGCCATAAGGTCAAAATTGATGGGGAGCAATATGTCAAACTCATTCAAACGGATGCAGAAAGTAAGTTGTGTTCCCTTACTACTGTGCTAACTTTAGAAAAAATAGTATTCCCCCCATGTAGAAATCTACTAGGTTTGTTACAGCATTATATGTGTTAAGCTGTGTGTACAAACAATTTCAAGTAAATATAGCTGTGAGCAGATTTTTCTTGCTTTAAATGTAGTTTTGTTTTGTTTGGATGATGTTGCTGAAAGTAGGGGTGTGCAAAAAAAAAAGAATTCGGATTTGGCCGAATCGGGCAGAATCAATTTTTGCTGACAGAAAGACTCCAGCATGTCAATTTCAGCAGTAGGAGCTGATTCAGGAGTCTTTTGGCCAGCCGAATGTCAATTTCAGTGCCATTATATCCTAAGGGCCATTGAAGTCAATGGCAAAAACATAGGGTATATTCTGGGGGCTGGAGGGGAGGGGGTTTGAAGGAGAGGCCCCCAAACAGGTTGCCCCCATCCCCTTCATTGTTCTCTGTGGTGGGGAAAAAGTTACTTTCCCCCCACCATAGAGCATAATGGAGGGGATGGGGGCAACATGTTTGAAGGCCCATAGAATTGGACCCCCTGGTCCAATGTTCTTGAAACATGGTGGGTATCTTGGGGAGCGGCTCCAGCAGCTACCCCGCAAGTTTGGAGTCTCTCCCTCAAATCCCTTCCCCTCCAGCCCCCAGAATATACCCTATGTTTTCACCATTGACTTCAATGGCCCATAGGATATAATGGGGCCGAATTGCCACCAAAATTCGTTGGCACTTCGGCAGCAAGCCGATTCAGATCAGAGAATCTGAATCAGCCCGCAGCAGCCCAAAAGCAGCTGAAAGCAGTGTTATGTTGACAGTTTCCACAAACAACACCAGAGCATCTCCCATTTTTAATAGCTTTTGGGTACATTTGTGTACTACAGCATGAGAGCTCTTTCAACACGGCACAATTCTGCACTGCAGGAGGCATAGATGTGGCGCCAGTTTCCACTGGAAAGACCAAAACAATCGCCACACACACACACACACACATATTGTCACCTTGTTCACATATGTGGGTTAGCAGCTGCCACGCTGAAGGGCATGAGTGTGAACGGGGCCTTTGCAATAGTAACAAAATTGTACAGAATTGTTATCTTTTTAAAAACACACTGGAATCCTAAGTATTTTAGTGCCCACACTTCCATCAGTCAGACTGATGGACTTTCTCAGAGATTTCTCAGAGATTTCTGCAAACCTCTCTCCAAAACTCAGAGCATAGTCAAGCTATGGGTGGCCCATTACCACTGTTGCTGGCATCTGGAGCTGGTGAAGAGAGCCTTTGTGGTAAAACAGGGTCCACAGGCACTTTGTTCTGCTTCAGCAGATGTTGGATTTATTGGGAGGTCCAGGTCCAAAGCTGCTAGACCCTAATGAGCACTCTCTAGTTTTATCCAGTCCCCACAAAACAGAAATGTTTCCTTTTCACTACCACAATCTGCAAATGTCTGCTGTTCCTTCCCCTTATTTGGCCCGTTCTTCTGTCACCACCATATCTCCTTCTACCTCACATTGTATTGATCGTGGCACCATCCCCGGCCCCATTCTGCTCCCCAAGCACATCCCCAGCCAGCAGGTGACACAAGGACAGACAACCACACTTGAACACTAGAGCTCTCACTTGGATCTGGTAGTTCAAAAGAAATTTAAAGTAAATGTTAGAGTCATCAGATACCATTGTACTATAATGCAAGCTACTATCAATTTCTTTTAATAGAACCTACTTTTATTTTATACAGAACCATCAGATCTGGAAAGCCCAGTTGCTTTCGTACGAGGAAAAAACAATGAGGTTCGGGTTAAATGTTCAGGACCAAACATGTTAAATGGACCTAACAAAACTTATATACTGCAGTGGGATGGTTACCTGAAGCAAAATGACTCATGCAACTTTGATTTAAGCCTTTTCTTCCTGACAACATACAACTTTACAGTAAGTGTCTGAATTCTAAAGGAGTCATATAAACACTGATCATTCGGATTATTTCTTTCACTCACTTAAATTAATGTTTAAAAAACAGACAAACATAATGACCTATTTTACAGTTCTGTGTGCAGTTCAGAAATATTGTAATCACATATTCCCAGTAGGCATTTCTTGTTAATGGTAATGATTTTATGTACATATGTGAGCTATGTAGCTGGTCGAAAGACCATGTATGCCAATGGATGTGGATTCCCACATGTGCTGGCATGAGGACTTCCTCTCTCAGATATAGTAGCCAGAACTCCACACATGAATCAGTCTTTTAAGTAATAACATTAGGTCAGTCAGGGTCACCTTAAACTACTGAACTGCCCCAGATGCCCTCCTCCCATGTTGCCTCTGGCTGCAGCAACAACGGCAGAGGAACCAACAACAGGCACTTCACAGCTGCTGCCTCCTCCCACTTTTCTGCTCCCTGTTGGTTTGGAGTTGTAAGCATCTGCTTGAGCAGCTTGGGTAGTGAATGGGCCCTGCTATCAGTTGTTCAGGATGGGGAGTAGAAGGCTTTCTTTAGTTTGTATGCAAAGTGCTGGTTCCTTGCAGCATACACAGAGTCGTGTAGTGACAGTCTAAAGCTAAAATCCCTGTTGCATGTTTTAGAAAACACCACAACCAAAGGCCTGTGAATGCAGCTTTAAAAGTAGGGTCAAGGTCCAAATACCTGAAAAATGAACTCTGTGAACCTAAGGGAAATTTGGATTTTGTTTTTTACAAAGAAGAAGAAGAAAAAGAGATTGGATTTATACCCCACCCTTCACTACCCAAAGGTGTCTCAGAGCAGCTTACAAACTCCTTTCCCTTCCCCTCCAGG